GCACATCATAACTAATCAAGCAATATCCAATAGCAACAAGTAATGCAGCACATATAGCAGTTCTTTAAGTAATGCATCTATACCTAGATGGCATTTATCTATCATGTATGAATGCATAACATTTATCCGTGTATGCATGTATGTATATGCAATGGGCAATAAGTTATCCAACACTACTCACTGTTTTATGATCTAATTGGAAGCAATGCTCTATATTCCAAGCATTCTGTTATCCAACATTCAGGTCCTCGGGACTCACAATCATATCTAAGTAAAGAATTAGAAATAAATTTTATCATTATTGGGGCCCGCTTGCCATTACCATAAGTCCCGTATTTTAACTTCTTAGTTCTAAGTCATGATTAGAAATAAAACCCATGATTCGGACAAAATCAAATTTGATTTATACCAAATCCTTCATTAACCTATAGGAATCATCAAGAAATCCAAAAAACACCCATTTGCCCTAAATATTTTTTTTCTCCCCTTTCCCGTTAGCACCAACCACAACTCCCTCCCCCTTCTCTTTTCATTTTTCGATCACTGAAGATCAACCCAACTGACCAGACCTCCTTCACGCTGTCCTTGTCTCTCTGGTCATCGTCCCATTCCAATTCCAACTTGTGTTAGCATTGAAATCAAGAGGGAGAGTTGTTGTGATTCTTTTTCTAATCAACGCAACAACATTTCTTTCTTCTTCGACAATTCCTTGCTTGTCGATGTCGAAGCTCCGGTCTCTCTCTTTCTTACTCTCTCTTTCTTGTGTTTTCAGTTGGCGTAGCACAATAAGAGCTGCAATTACGATCTGTTGCGATCGGGATAGTTGGTTTTTCGTCCCTCTTTGCTCCTTTGGCAAAACCAGTCAAGGACCGGCTGGTTACGCCTTCCAACATCTCCAAACTTCACCGACCACCGTTCTCATCAGCTCTAATTAAGTTACAGCCGGCAGGACTGATTTTGATCTTTGAAGCTATTTTCGGTCCTTTTAACCAGGATTACTTAGCTATTAATTCATTCTAAAGCTTTGTAAAATGATTTTAACCCTCTTTCAATATATATTTCATGATTTTTTTGATTTAAGGGTGTAGGATATAAGGTATTAATTGAGTTAGTGTTGAATTAAGCCTAGATGCCACTGTTTATATAAGATTTTAGAGAATTAAATTAATTCCTTTCGATCTGTGATAAAACTTTTTTGGTAAATACATTAATGTGATTAAGGCCATCTTAGTTTAAGAATGAACAACTCATGATTATGACAATAATAGTTATTGCAAAATCTTGAGCTATCATTGTGTTGTAAACCAGATGGAATCGTAAGTTGAATTCTTAATGTATTATGGGTTATTAATGCATAGTAAATGAGGCTAAGTTAAGGAACATATATCTTTTCGGTAGGCAGCAACTATTTCGAATATTTTGTGTTCTTTTAATAAGTTAACATGAAATGGATATGTATATATTTGATGTTTTTATACTTATTGGTATTGGTATATATTTAAGTTGTGAATTAGGTTGCTCAAAGATGTGTTTATTAAATTGTAAGTTAATGGAAACATTGGTTCTTAGTTGCTAATCTAGAATTTTAATAAATGATTAAAGAACGGTTAATAGTATTATTGGAACAAGTTGAAAGTTATTTAATTTGTAAATTAATGATGGAAGCTATTTGTACACATATGCTTATACATGTACATATATATCTATGAGGATCAATGGGTTGTAATATTTAGAATATGAGTTAAGTTTATGTAAAACGATTGTGATAATTGAATGTCAATGTTGAGGTTAAACAAGGATGGGAACTTGATTGGATTGATTGCCCGACAAATGGGTTGTGTGGGTTGAATTAATATTTAATGAAATTGTTGATATTTGAACAGGTGGATAGTCCAATTTTTACGGGAGATATTGCCGAAATTTCTGTAGAATTTAGGCTAGTTATAACAGTAGATAATTTTATTAGACTAATTCCTTAATTCTTTATTTAAATTAGTCTTTTATCGATTCAACTCTTTCCTTTGCATTCTTAAATTCTTTAGATCATCTGGGCTTGTCTACTGCTCCTCCAAGTCAAAATTCGAGTTAGAGTTTCTTCTTTTCTCTATCACTGTGAGTAATAATAAATAGTGCATATTATCTTCTGCATACACATATCATTTATTTTATAAAGAAAAATATATATAAATAAAAGAGATAACTTAGTATGTATTTTTATAATTATATTATTATGCTATCATACTTTTATATTTGAGTATTAATGATTGATTGATGCGCTGTGTTGAATGACTTGTTGATTATTTGTGCTGTGGAATTATTGTACCTTGGTTGTGTGGAATTGAGATAAAGTGGGTTAGCATGAGTTTGTGAGGGCGATCTTAGATACCTCGACCATATATGGGAAGATAGGCACCCCTGTGTGCATCTGATGATATATGATATGAAAAACCACAAGGTGACCTCCTGTTGGCATAAAAAAGAAAATAGAGTATAAAAAAATGAGAAGGCTGGTCAAGTGAGGATTAGATCTATCGGCCGTATCAGCTCCTTGGTGCACACGTTTGAGAGGACGGGCCATGTAGGAGAACGGCTCGTCGGGAGGTTTCAGTGACGCCACTGATTAATTTCCACTTGTTTGATTATTTGAAGGTGAAATTACTTGTAGGTGCGGATATTGTGCCATATGCTTAACTAGTTGCGTGTTCATTTTAGTATTTTTAGAATGCATTTCGCATGAATGTCTGTGTTATGCATTATTTATTATTATTCACTGAGTTGCAAAACTCACTCTTCTCTTATTTAACTTCTTAGGAAGTAGAATCCCTGTCGACTTAGCTAAAGCTCTGCATCCTTCTCCGCAAGACTATAGAAGTAAATCTCTAATTTCAATAATTACTTAAAACATGTAATTTTTATAAAGACTTTTATTATTTCTAATTTTTGTTGACTCTGCAGTTGCAGGACTTATATACCTCTAATCATGTATTAATAGAGTATTCTATCCTATGAACATAGGAATGTTTTAATTATTGGCAATAATGCATGAATGGACCAATTAGCCATATTATAGATGTTACATATTGTAAATAGGCCCAAGTTGTGAATTAATTTGAGATGTTGAAGTTGGGCCAGGGAAATGCGATTACTTGACATATATGTGAAATAATATAGACTTACTGTTCCTAGAAATCTTTTGGTGTGTATGTACTTTTGTAGTTTAGTCTTATTACGACATTGGGAGCCTTAAGCTAACCTGAGCCCTAGTGTCAATCCGGCCCACGAATTTGGGTTGCGATAATAATATTATAAAAACATTGCACCTAATTAATTTAAATTCAAAAACTTGAGAAATTAAAATTTCGGATCATTTCAATATGGTTATCTATTTTCTTCTTTTTCTAATTTTCTTTTTTTAAAACTTTTAGAAAATCATTTTTCCCCTAAAACATAATGAACTTTTCTAAGATCATATATTATTTTTTTTTCGCATAACACTAAATTAATATGAGATATATCTTGCATATGATTGTGGATAATTAAAACATAATTTTAATATAAATGGTAAGGTACTTGAAATTATTTTAAACACAATAAACAACATTTTAAGATAATCATTTTTATAAAAATCTATAAATGATCTTAAAAAAATTTACAGCTACAGGTCATATAACTTATAATTAATTCTGATATTACAATAAATGTTTAAAAAGCACAAGTATTAAATTTTTAATTAAAATTAAGGTGAGTGTTATAAATTCGATTGTCAATCATTATGTTTTAACTTGGATTGAAATAATGCAATTATTATTATATGTTTGATTAATCCTATTATTATTTTGAAATATAATATATGATAAACTTATTTTTATATAGAGTCAAGCTTATAATAGATAAATTCAAAAAATTAAGTTTTGAATTGTTTTTTGTAGATCACAAATAAAATTGAAATTAAATAATTAAAATTACATAAATTATAAAATAATTTTAGTAAAAAAAAATTGAGTTATGAGTATATTATAACTAATTAATAATATAGGAGTATATAAAAATTAAATTATGAATTATATTATGATTAGCAACACAACAAACTTAAAGTATTATTTACATAGTGATCTTATAAGGTAAATATACTTTTTTTTATTTCATTTTAGAAGGTAAATATTAGCTCTATAACTTTTTTTTAAATGTAAAAAATCTTTATTTTGATTATTTATGAAAAGATATTCAATATTTTTTGTTGTTGAACTTCTCGTATTGATATTTTTAGATTGGCAAAACGAGTTTTTTGTTATAATAATAAATATAATTAAATAACACATAGATAATGAATTACCCGTTTTATAAGTAGTAAGTTATTAGATATTTTTAGATTTAATCGCTCGCTCATATTTAGTTAGCTTAAATCTAATGAAAGATAACCACTTATGTATCTATGCAGAATTTTTTTTATCTTTGTACAATAGTCTTACCCTTTTTGAATTGTTAATTTTGATTCTAACATGATTTGAAAGCCCTTGAATTTGATATTGATCCAACTTATTTTTTTTCCCTTAAATTGGTAAAAAACTCTAATGTAAATTTTGGTTTCAATTTCACATCTATATAATTTTTAAAATAACATATTAAGTATTAATCAAAATTGACTTTCAATATTTGTGTAAAAGTTTAAAATTAAATAAAATTATCTTTCAATATTTAATTAAGAGTTGAAAATTGAATAACTAATCAAAATTGCTTTTTCATTATTATTTTAAATAATTATAAAATTAAAATTTTATATTTGATTAAAAAATTAAAAATTAAAAAATTGAATAAGTAATAAAAAATAATAAATTATTTTTAAAATTTTTTTGAATAGATCGGTTTGAACTGAATTGGACTGTGGGTTCCGTGTCTGCATTTTTATTCTGTCCTTGATTTTGAACCGGCAGTTTCAATCCAGTTTTAGTACATTAAAAGCACGGACCAATCTTGGTTCGGTCAAGATTTGAACAGAACGGGTTTCCAAGAGGCTCTTCTAAACAAATTCTCCCTCGTTAGTTTTTTCCCTCATTTCCTTCAGTTCCTTGCTTCCTTCCTAAATACTTCTATTCACTATTGACTCTTGTCCGATCCTTATTGCTAGTGGTACCGATCATATATTCATATTCCCGCTTCTCCCAAAAAAAAAAAATAATAAATAAATAAATAAATAAACTCAAAACGCTCCTCTCATCTCTCCTCCCCAAATGGCTTCACCGCCACCGCCGCCGCCGGAAGTGGTGGTGAACAATCGATTTCTAGGGTTTCTAATATGGCAATCCATAACCTCAAGTGCCATTTTTATCCTTTTCAAAACTTTTGTTCTTTCACCTCTTGCTAAGACTAACACTAATCTTTCACTATCCCTCTTTGCTTTCCTAAATTTTCACTTGTCCCACTTATTATTCTCTGCTTCAATTTTTATGCTTTCATCTCCACAACCATATTCGCCGGCCTCGCCTCTCCAGCTCGCCGCCGCCTTCCTCCGTTTCCTTTTTGTCTCCGGCGATTCCTTCTCTTCCCATGATTTCCGCCGACGCGCTAACCTTTCTCTTAGATTTCTTGTTTTCGTGGTGGCAACTGCTATTTCGGGCTTTCTCTCTTTAACATGCGTTTGTGCGTTTGACCGGCTTAGGAGTTTTGGTTTTGGTGTTGGATTGGTATATGCTTTCTTTTACATTTTTAAGCAGCGATGGGTCTTGGAGTTTCCAATTATTCAGGTTACTCCAGTTATTATATTTTTAGTTTTTAGAATTTTTCTTTTGGTTACTGCTAATTTTTTTTTTTTTGACCTGGTGATCAGAGACCCCCTTTCTACAGCTTCAAGATGAGGTTTCCTTTGGCTATTAAACAAGCTTTAAAGCTTTCTTGTACAGCTTACCTGTTTTCAGCAATGTTGCTAGTATTTGTCCCATATCAGTTTAAGAGTTATGTGACAATGCGGAAGTTTATCGGTGAGCAAATCAACCTATTGTTTGGGAGCTTTTCTGTGTTTTTATGTTGGGAATTAAGTCACAATTTACATCAGGTTTGTTCTATGATCCATCTTGTTCTATCTTCTTATTTTCTTTGTCACATGCTTATACTGTATCTGGTGCTCAAGGAAAGCTTTTCCTATAATCAGATTAAATTAAGTTTGCAAGAGCTATCCGTAGTGTATTTGTATTTATTTATTTATTTTAGCTGGACAAGTTTCTGACTTAGAAAAGATCTCAAGTAACCTATCATCATGATAGCCAATGCTTTGCATAATTAAATTGGATACTCTTTTTCTCAAAGGAAGATTTAATTTGTATTTGCTATTAATATTTGAAGAGCCTGTGGATGATATTCTAATCAATGGATACATGGAGAAAATTTATTTAAAATTTCATGTAATTTTCTATAGTATTTTATAATTTCTTTTCTTTGCTTGATATTTGATAGAATGGACAATACTAAAGAAACAATTATAGGAGTGAGGATTTGCCAGTTTTGTGTGGATAATTTTTTGAATGCTTTGCTGGCTATGTGTTTGAATTTAATTAAGCATGTGCAGGTGTTTGAAGTACAAATCATCAATTGATTTATTTGTTCAAAAAATTTGCTGATTTTACTTGAAGAAGAAAAAAGAGCATACAGTGCCGAACTCATAATGATTTATGTGCTAACACAATTCTCAGGTTATTTCCTTTCGAAGTCAGAAATAAAAAAAAATATTTTCGAAGTCAGAAATAAAAAAAAATATATATATTATAATATAGTATATTTTATATATATTTTAAAAAACTTTCAAGTCAAAATCAAGCTAGGGATATTTCTCACCATGGGGCACCAATCTAATGTTTTATTGATGCAACCTGTAAAATAATATCTTGAACAAATGTAGACATCAATGGCAGTTCTTTCAATTTTAAACTACTAATGGTAGAATTTCCAATGAGAAGTGGGGATGTTTGATGAGAATTTATGATAGAATTTGTGAGATTAATTTTTTGCCAAGAATCAGTACATATAGAAGATGGAAGGTTTTAAACTTTTAGGTTTCATGCCTATACGCATCTGGTTGTGCCAGGAGTTGTATTACCCTTATGGTTAGAGTTGCATTACATTATTTTAATACAGTTTTGAAGTTTCTTCATATTAGTATATTGTCTCACTTATCCTTTTTCCTTATTTTTTGAATTGAAGAATCACATGCATGTATTGTTGCTGCCATCTGAGTGCATTCATCTCAAGATTACATTATGTTTCTTTATGTTCACATTTGTAGCATCACTGTGGCCCCTTTTTAAGTGCTAATGCAATTAACAGCTTGGTTTGGTGGATTTTTTTTTTTTTTTTTTTTTTTGAAGGGGTTGGGGGTGGGGGCGGGCCTTGGTTTGGTTTGAGGGTAAGCTAAGGCAAAGTTAAGCTTTTTAGGTCATTTGGAAAAAAGAAGCTTTTGAGGAGGGAAGGTTTTTTTTTTTTTTTTTTTTTTTTTTGTGCATTAAACGGGTTGGGAACCTCCTAAAAACCATCTATTTTTCCAACATCACGCAAATTTTTTTTTTTTTTTTTTTTTTGTTGGGGGGGGGGGGGGTTGGGGGGGGGGGGGGGTTGGGATGTTTAGAACTTTTAGTTTCCCATATTAACAATGTTTACTTCTAAATATACTAAATTGCCCCCTTCATATTTCTTCAATATCTTTTCCTTCTTTTTCTTTATAATTTAGAAAAAAGATAAGCGAATCGAGTTGCTTATTTGTTAGCAACTGAATCTTATCCAACGACTAATCTTAAGTAGTAGGGTCTTATCCCTTCTGAAATTGTTCATGTTCTTTTTGATGATTTGCATTAACGAAGTTTGAATTTTTCCTTTAAAAAAAAAAAAAATTTATATATCTAAAATAAATACTTTAATGATGATGTTATTTTTGTAATCTTCATATTTAACCTTCCAAACAGCATGCCAGCCCTACGTTTACCTTACTTTTCTTCAAAACATAAATAAGAACTAAATCTTTCCTCACCCATCCAAACAAACCCTAATCTACCTGCTTCTTTGTTAGCTGCTGTCTGATATGTTATGATCCATCAAAGTCATAGATACTATGTGTCACTTGTGTTTGTTTTTTCTTTGTTAATTATCACCTATAGTTTTTATTTCCATCCCCTTCCACCCGACAAAGGTTCCTTTTGACATATTGATGTTGTTCTGAAGGTTCTACATACAAAGAGATTCGTATTTGCTCCACCGAAAGGATCAGCAGCGGCGGAAACAAATCCCAGTGAGCCTCTCCTTGCAGCTTTAGAGGAGAGCGTCCCAGGTTCTCTTCCACAGTCTCTTGCGTACCTTGATCTCTCTATGGTTTGTGAGAATAATGTTGATACTTGGCGACGAGCTGCATTCTTTGAAGAAACTGGTGAGACTTACAAAAGAGTTGTAGCTGTATGCTTGAGGCCTCTGGAGCAGCTTCCATCTACCCTAGGTGAAGGCTTTGAAACTAATTCTGCTGATAAGGCTTACCAGCAATCCAATCAATTGCAATCACAATCTGATTTGCAACTAGATCAAAAGTATTATGAACCACTGAACAACTTCCAGGTATGGAAAACATCAATGCCTGATCATATTGTTGACTTCACATTTATCATTTCTTGATTTTTTTTAATGTTTAAATTTCATTTTTTTATTATCTTTTGCTAATGGACCATTAAAACAGTTATCATATCCAAGTTACTCCAATATGCTAGTTTGGATTCATAATCTTTTGTTTTAACTCATGTTTACCTATGTTAGAAATTTTTTCTGATGCAGTTCAACCTTTTCTAAAGGATACCTTGAGATATCTTCTTTCCAAACTAATAATCAAGACATAATGATGCAAAGGAAACTTTTTCTGATTTTTGATAAGGGGTTCTTGTTTCTGTGTGTGACAAAGCAGGTCTACCATATTGTATTTTTAGATTAGTAAAAGCTGGATGGTACGTTTTTAATTTATAAAATAGTTACATAAGAAAACACAAATAATTCCAATTGCTGATTTTAAAAGAGTTGTTCATACTTAATTACTACCATCCCAAGTAATAAGTCAAAATTCCTCTCTTGTCTTGGCCAATTTACTTATTCTTTATTTACTTTTGTTAAGCTTAATGAGAATTCACAATAGATGTAGAAAATTACAAATGACTAGAAGAGTATGAGAGTATAGTGGTTTTTCTTTTTTTTTTTTTTTTTTTTTATAGTGGGGTTTTTCTTTTTTTTTTTTTTTTTTTTTCTTTTCTGGAAAAGAAATACTCCTACTCAATGCTTATTAAGAATTTAAAATGTGAATGAAATAGAATCTCAAGTTCAAGAGTATGCAATCTCATTAAATACTTGTTTGGCATTATAGAGCTATGATTATTCCTTTTCCTGAATTTTTTTTTTTTTTTTTTTTTTTCCTTTTCTTGAAAAGAAATACTCCTACCTTCATGCTTATTAAGAATTTAAAATGTGAAATGATAGATCTCAAGTTCAAGAGTATGCATCTCATTAAATACTTGTTGCATTATAAGCTATGAATTATTCTTTCTGAATTTCCTTTTGAATAAATATATATATACTGTGGTAGGCTGGTCTATGTTATTTTATGTTATATCCAAGAGAACGAATCTCAGCTATTATTTAGTCATGTGGGATGTTCATTGGGAGCTGTGGCGATTGGGTGACACAATTCAATGTTATCTTTGGATAATGAAATCCAGCACTTCTGTTTTGCCTCTGGTTTTTTCTTTTTTGTTCTCGAATGACTTCTTGAAATCTTATTCTACAATGATGCTCCTTTCCCTTTGCTTGGTTAGGACATGATTTGTTTATCTGGGTTGTATAATGGCTTAATCAAACCCTCTGGCTTGTGCTATCTAGTATCTACTTGGTGCCAGTATCTGATGAGAGAAGATTTTAATGATATGAAAAATAAAGCGTAGATAAAACTTTCATTCCTCTTATTCTTTTTCTCATCCTCTCTTGCTTCAGAAGTACTAAGCCTGCTGTCAGTATCATTGTAGTTGGTAACAGCTTGGTGTTGCTCTATGATAAAATTATTTTCTTGCACTGCAATGGTATGGTTGATTTCACTGGACTAGATTGCACAAGACAACTCTCCGTTGTCTTATTTTTGGTGAACCAATTGGATAGGACAAAAGTGGATTCTTGACTTGTCCAATCCTCCTTTTCATGCCCATGCTCTCTACTGGGCAACTTTTCCAGTCCTTATAAAATTCAATTTATAAATATGCCAATAAAGTGTGTTATAAGTGAATGCTAGATTTCTTACTGTAAATTGAAAGATTGCTTTAAATGGAAGTTCTGATTTCATACTCCTATAGTTTATGCTAATTTATTTTGTTTCATGTATTATTTATTCAATATATCCTTAATACTTTTTTATTATTAATTTGTTTGGTGATTCTTGTTTCTTGTATGAAAAGCAACTGAAATGACTAATTATAAAATTGAACTTGCATGGATTTCTACTTTAAACAAAACGAATTTGTTTGCCAATTTGACAAGGTTGTGGATTGTTGCAGCAATGTGCATGGTGTGCAAGAGCCGTTGCTGCCTTAACTGCCCGTTCACATGAGGAGGATAGGTTTGGGGTTGCTCAACTGTCTGGTAGCAATGCTGCAGTTATCTCAACACTTATATCTTGCCTGATTGCTGTCGAATCACTCATGGGGAAGAAGACAAATGTGCAGACCCCTCATCAGTTGATGGGGCCAGCAGGTATTAAATGGGCAACTCTAAACACAGGAAGACGAGACCTTCTGGTGACTAAAAAGAAAAGTGGCCCAATACATCCAAAAGCATACGCCATGGCGGATGTGCTGAGGACTTCAATTTACAGTATTGTATCCGCTTTTCACTATGAAATGCTTGCTAGTGACAAAGCAGGCCTTCTTGAAAAGGATTGGCTTATTTGTGGCAAGCCTCTTTTTGGTACAAATGAGCTGCTCCTACAGAAACTGCGCCTTTTCCTGGATTTTCGAGCTAGTTAGTTGCTTGCTTCTTTAGGCTAAGCTGCCTCTTTATTTTCCCATTGCTTCAGTCACAAAGAAAACAACTTTAAAGATATGGGTAAGTTTGTCAAACTGGAGTTATTTGCAATATTGAACCAGTATTTTGATTTTTGCTTTGGAGGGTTGAATGATAGTGCCAGTTATTTTGCATTATTGGTAGACCATGCAAGCAACGATGTTAAGTTCAAGTGTAGAATGATCACCTTCAAATGTTTAGATCGATCGAAGATTGAGGATAAAGTGGCTAATGGTATGTTTGAGTAGACATTGGGTAGATCAGAAAAATTTTGTGTATCAAGTTTAATGAAGTGATTCTTATAGTAATAGTGACTTGAGAAGAAGTTAGGTAAATTTTAATAGATTGAGTTCAGGATTTTGTTTGCAGATGGATGTCCAAAGTTTTTGGTATTTTCCAGGATAATGCCTTTATTCTAGTATTGTGTTTTCAAATGGAATAATTGTCTAAAGGTATTGAAATTTGCTCCTGAGAACTTAATTTCATATAAAATGACTTTCATAAATTCTGAGGAGTTAGTTTATAAAACTTCAGGAATGTAAATAAGTTGGTTTGAGACACACTCGTGTTTTTTTTTTTTTTAAATTTTTTTTATTATTATAATTCAATTGAAAGTTGTGAAACTTGAGCTTGACATCAAATTGATTTGAGAATCATTGTAAAAGACCATATCAGCTATAATCTATATTAATAGAGTAATCTTTATCATTTTTATATTACAATTTCTTCTGATAATCGAAAATCTGTTAATCATCTTTTTGTCGAACATATGAATAATATATACTTTAGTAGTAATACACGTTTTGTTTGTATATATGTGTAATTTATAGATTGTCTATAAAAATTCTCATTGTATAAAATTATATCTAATTAATTGCTAAATTATATACACTCCGAAATGAGGGAGTAAGGCTGGTTACATGCCAAGCTGACAAGACAATTAAGATGTGGAAAGAAGATATCAATCGATTCTAGTGGACATGTTGCTATTTCATCTTCCCTTGTGCTTCAAGAAATACAAGTATTTTAAAAATGTACAGAGTCACCTTAGATAAACTGGCATCCTCTTTCATGTAAAAAAGCTGAAAGGCTTTCTTGATATTTGGTATCTAGGAATTGCCCTTATCTTCCGGCAAATAATTTTTAGGGGAAATGGCCTAATTTTTACGGAGCCAAAAGGCCTCCATACAAGAAGGTTAAGCATTTCCTAATTGAAAGCATTTTTGTAAGCATTACTTTCGTCGTTCTCTCCAGCCCCGACCGCCAGCTTTAAGCGATGTGTGTTTTTTATTATTATTATTATTGTTATTATTTTTTATGTCAGATTGTTATTTTGTGTTCTTGAAAAATTGGGTTTAGTTTTGGATTTGATCCATCTCAATAAATTTTCTGATAGTGTAAAATCTTTGGTTCATACTATAGTGGAAATTCCAGTTTTAGGTATTGAAACGGGAAATAATGCAATTAATTTTAAAAGATTGGCGGATTTGTGTTTTACGATTTTGCGTTCAAGTCTTAAATCCTGACCATGGAGAGGAAGGGGAGACAGCAGCCGATCGAGATTTTCAAATTGTTAATGGAAATTGTTAGAGTTATGGAGTTAAAATAGAAATTGTTAGAATGTTGAGTTGGATTTGCGGAATATATTGTGAAAATTATGAAAGGCAAAGCTGATCTTAGGGTTTTGGCGGTGGCTTTGACTTTGCATTTGATGAAGCTGCTAAAAGATCCATTTGATAGTGAAGTGAAAAGGTTCATGGGGGTTTGAAAGTTCAAATGCAGAAAACTTTAACGCAGAAAATCCTTTCTTTTTATTAAATATTATTGTAATTTTTTTTGTTTCGATCGGATTAGAGCAATTATCGGAATGGAAAACTGAAAGCTTTCATGTAGGTGTAGCTAGAACTGACCGAACCGAAAATCCGATGGCCTAAAGCATCCATAAAGCAATTGTTGACTTTACCGATTTCACAGTCGTACGTCTACTTTTAGCTTGAACATTGAAAGAGGAAGAGACAACTTGGCCTAAGAAATTGAATAAATTTGAACTATATAGCTGATGTGGCAGATAATAAAGTTTAAAGTGTTTTAAAATGCCGTCATGTCAGCCTAGTAACCAATTAGAAGGTAAATTTTAATTTATTATTCACTAAATTAAATTTCATATATACATTTATGTGACAAATTGATTAAGAGGTACGATAATATGATGGCATGTATATCTAAGACACGACAAGTGAAATATAGCCCCTAGATTTGATGGTGAAGAACTATAGACAACAAGCAGGATCAAACTTGACTCTCTTTACAAGAGGCAAAGAGAAAGTAAGAAGTCAAAAAATTCTGCAGCAACTTGGTCTCCTCTGTTCTATAAATAGGATACACACTTTACTTAAATGTTATCTTCAAATCATTTCTGCATTAATTCAATTATAGGAACTAGTTAGAGCTATATATGGCCTTGAAATTAATTCTTCTCTCCTCCTAATCGCCACAATGGCAGTTTCAATAGCTGAAGCTCAGTCTGGGCTTTTAGGCAATCTCCTTGGCTTTCTACACATCCAGGGGATTGTGTATTGCACTGCCAATGGCACTGCAATCTTACAATTATGCACCAAATAGAGACTTGGTTGTTCTAGTACTCAACATTTGTCTTTTGACTTGGGCTCAAATATAACCTATTGTCTTCCAATCATTATTAGTAATTACTATAGATGACAATTGTTTACTATTAATTTCTTCTGCTAATAAAGAGCAACTCTGTGAAAATGTGGTATATTTTTCCATTATAGTTTCAGATGTCGAGGTGGTATATTGGGCGAGTAATAGCTGAGTAGTGTTTCATTGTAAAAATTATAAAGAAGGCGGACCAGCTTTCCACTAATAAATAGGAGTGTGTCAAGTCACAAAATTGGTGTCATGTCACCCATGGACTAATTAACCCTCAGGTTAAACTACAGAAAGCATATTTTTCTCAATGCCCAGAAGGATTGGCACCGAGAATTGCAAAAGCACACAGCAGACAAGACCGCCACCTTGGCACCACTATATGTTAAGTATATGCCTTGTAACTGATTTGTGTGATTATATTTTGGATATAATATTTCATTAATAAATATTTATTTTTAATAAAAAATATTTATTTATTTATTTTTTATATTCTATTTAATAAATTTCGTAAAAAAAGAATATGTAGTATTTCTTTTATTGCATTGTATTTTTTCAATCTCTACACCATTATATATGTACACAAGATTGTTCCAATATGGGAAGTAATCTAAATAGGAATAAACATAAACTAAGAAAGACAATATTGACTTTAATTACAAAAATTTCAACACTCCCCCTCAAATTGGTGCATAGCCAAGTAAGTAATCTAAATAGGAATAAACATAAACTAAGAAAGACAATATTGACTTTAATTACAAAAATTTCAACACTCCCCCTCAAATTGGTGCATAGATATTACTCATACCCAATTTGCAAACTAAAGAATGAAACAATTTTTTATTCAAACCCTTTGTGGAAACATCGGCAATTTGCTTTTTTGAAGCTATGTAGGAGACACTTATAAGACCTTCAACTATCTTCTCTTTTACAAAGTGACGATCAATCTTTATGTGCTTAGTTCGATCATGCTGGACTGAATTATTCGTAATACTGATGGCTGCTTTACTATCACAAAACAAAAATATATTTGTTTTTTTAACCAACTTTAACTCTTCCATTAATCTACGCAACCATAGGAGTTCACATATTCCTTGTGGCATAGCTCTATATTCTGCTTCTGCATTAGACCTTGCAACAACAGCCTACTTCTTGCTTCTCCATGTGACAAGGTTTCCTCCAATAAAATGCTTCTCCATGTGACAAGGTTTCCTCCAATAAAAACATAATAACCTGAGGTTGATCTCCTGTCATCAAGAGAACCAGCCCAATCCGCATCTGTATGGCCCGTTATTTTTTCACTTGCAATATTAAATATAAAACAAACTTAATGTTAAAATTTTATTTCAAAATTAATTTGCCATATATAAAAATTGACATTAGTTGTAAATATTTATTTTTTTTGTCAATCTTTATGTTTGCTGATTTAAAATCCATATAACTAATTCCTTTTTTTTTTAATCTCTAATATCAATATAAAACAAATTTAATATTAAATTTTATCTCAAACTTGATTTTGTATAATTTTATCTCAAACATTTGTAACTTAGAATTGAACTAATTGAGAATTTCAAGTCATTATATTTAAAAGTCATAAATTAGAGACTAATTTTGAAAGAGTTATTATGTGAAAAATTTTAATTTCTATAACAGTATTCTATTTTCTATTTTTCCACAATAGAATTCTAATTTCTAATTAAAATGGAACAAAGCTTCTAAATTATTCCTGATATATAGTTAAAGCTTCTAAATTATTCCTGATATATAGTTAATTTAATATATTTATAATATTAAAAATAACATAATTTATAATTTATAAAATAATATGTTATTAACTTGCCTGTCATAGAAGTTGTTGTAAATAAATATATACTTCTTCGGTCCTATTTTGTTTATTTATTATTACTTTTTGAGATGTCTCAAAATATTTGCAAGATTTCTAAATTTGTATATTTAAATAATTATTTTTCTCATAATAACCTTTATGATTATTCATTAAATGAATGAATTTTGAATGAATTTTATTAATATTTTTAATGAGTTAAAAGTAAAAGAAGACAAAATAATTTTTGTTGACTAAATTCTTAATCTGCATGTTTTGTCAAATCATGCAAATAAAATGGAATAGAGGGAGTATAACCTTATCTTAATAGATTATATTAATGGACAATATTAACATTTATAGTAATTTTAAAAAGATTAAATTAATATAACAGTAAGAAATTTTCTTGAATTTCTTTTTTTTTCAGTAAGATTGAATTTTTTTATTTTATTTATACTAATTAATATATATTATTAGATATTCAATTTACACATACATATTATATTAATCTTTTTCAAAAAAATATTAATTGTGATTGTAAAATAAATGAAATTAAATGAGAAAACATAATAATTAGGAAGCAATTTATATTAGTAAAATATATTTTATATATATCTAAATTTAACAATACCTATTTTTTTACTTTTCAAAGTAGTGTAAAGAAGTCCAAAGGTGAAAATTACAAATAATTCATAATATAAAGCCATTGAAATTGATACTTTTCTAGTGTTGAATCAATTGATACTTCCTTAGTGTTGCATCTTTAGCTCTATAAATTTTGTACCCACTTAGCAATCTCTAATACTCAAAGATTATAGTTTATATTAAATATTTTATAATTAATTTAATACTAATTTGATGAACTAAAATCCTGGTATTTTTATTTTTTCAACTTACCTTGATAAATTTTTGAGTGAAAACAATATCAATCAAGATACCAAAGCAAAAAAATTTTAATAAAAATAGAATAACTAAAGCAAAATTAAGGAAACAAGTACCTCTATTTAACATCGAGACTCAGACAAGAAATTGTATCAAACTTTTGATAGTCAAGCAAACAAATTTTGCGAAAGCAAATAAATTTTTTTAATCAAAAAGATTTAAAATAATACTTTAATGATAGACAAGGAATAACAAAGCTAGTAATTTTCGATGTGAAATAATATCATACCAAAACAAAAGTAAATAAATTTCTTGATAGATAAATCAAATAAAAATTATTATGGTTGGTTCACAAAAATAATCAGAACTAAAAATTTAACGGGGTATAAAATGCCAAACTATAAAATAGATACACATATAAAATTTAACGGGGTATTCTACAATAAAGAAGTAGTATAATAAGATTCTTAATTTACATGTCAAAAAAAAAAAAAAAAAATTTAACATGTCAAAAAAAAAAAAAAAAGATTCTTAATTTTTACTTATAATTACATATAAGTATAGATATAATATAATGACGATATATATCTTTTAAACCTACATTTTCGGTTCCGCGTCTTTTTTTTGCTTTTCTTCTTCTTCATTTCTAATTCTCATCCCCTGCTCTCTCTTTAAAAAAAAAAAAAAAAAGATTCTTAATTTACTTATAATTATCATATAAGTATAGATATATATATAATGACGATATATATCTTTTAAACCTAATTTTCGGTTCCGCGTCTTTTTTTTCTTTTCTTTCTTCTTCATTTCTAATTCTCATCCCCTGCTCTCTCTTTTTTCTTTTCGAAACCCTAGCTTTCTATCTCTCTCTCTCTAGGGTTTCTCTACCATGTTTTTGTTTTTCTAGCTATATTTTCTATTTCTGCTACTCTGTTTCTTTCTCTTGCTATAGTTTGGATCTCAAATTACAATGGACTACGGAGGTGTCCGTAAGAGAGGCAGGCCTGAGGCTACTTTGAATGGCAATGGTGGCTTCAAGAAATCCAGACAAGGTTCCTTTCTCACTGAGTTAATATAAAATGTTCTTTTAGTGTAATTAGTACTTTTTTTTTTTTGCCAACCGTAATTGTTTGGATTAGTTGAGATTAGTTTTCTACATAATTGTGAAAAATGCTCTGCTTAACCAGTAATTTGATGGTGACATTAGCAGTAATTTGTTGGCGACGTTACGGGTGAATTAGGGTTTAAGATCTTAATTGGATTCCTTTGGCCATTAACGTCTCTGTTTATTTTGTGTCTCTGTTTATTTTGTTCCTTTGTGTTTGTTTGTTCGTTTGTTTGATTTCCTCTGTTTATTCTGTACTTGGAGATGTAAAAAACTATAAAATTTGAAAACGCAGCTTAGATATTGCCTGTCAGTTTCTCCGTGTAAAGTGATAATTATTTTGGTTGACAACTTTCTTTAAAAATCTTTTTTGGGTTACCAGTATTACTTGAGTATTTAATGGCGTTTGGTACGTAAAAATTTGTAAATTTTATTGTTCATATTGCATAAAGTCTGAGTAAGATTTAGAATATAGAGATTGCAAGGTGAAATCAGATCTTTTTAAATATCAAAGATTAACAACTGAGAGAAATTATCTAATTTTCTGCAACAGAAATGGAGTCCTTTTCAACTGGTATAGGAAGCAAATCCAAGCCATGCACAAAATTTTTCAGGTTCAAATCTTAACCTATCTAAACTAAAATGCTATGACATCTATTTTTTGTATTTATTAATGCTAAAATAGGCTTCTGCAAGCATGTTGCTAGTAGAGAGAGGCATGATTTGGACTAATGAATTGGAAAGTTAAAGTTGTGATACAGGTTTTCTTCTAATCTTGATAACTGTGATTAGTGAAAACAAATGGTTAGTTTCAAAAAGTAGTTTTGATTAACTGCTTTCCTGGACATATGAAAAATGAAAGAAGGTTTATGAGATGAAAAACTAGTCCATTTATGACTATTCAAAATTTGATATATAATCTTGTAAAACTCTTGATATGGGCAGGTAACTTTCCCCCTAAAATTGTGATACAGGCTCAAAATATAATGTCTGAGAGTGACCTCGGTTTGATTTGTTGGTTGCTTGTTCTTTTTCAGGCTCTATTTAGAACTATAAGGTCTGCTTGACTTGCAAAATTCAAAAGTGACCTTGTAATTACTGATTATAACATCAATATTTTTTTACTCTTGCTGCATCATATGTGCATGTCTATGTTTCTTCAGATGTTTCTCACTGTTTTCTTGCAAGTGTCTGCACATGCATTTTACTTATTACATCCATGAAGCGTTCTTTTTCTTCTTCATTTTTTTAAAAAAATTATTTTTCTTCTTTTTTGTTTGATTGGCCTTTTTTTTGGGATAATATTGCTCGTATTCAAGTTCGGTTTCTATCTTCTGTCATTTTCTTTCCTATATTAAACGATGTTTAAGGTTCATACACTTGTACCTGCAATCGAACTTCTCTTTTTGAGCTATATGATTTTTCCAAATCAAAGGACATTAGCCCATACTTCTTAACATTTCTGCTGTATTCTTATCATGTATTTTGTTCTTTTCAATAGTCTACATATGGGTATATATATATATATATATATATATATATTCTGAATATGCTCCCTTGGGGGTAAACTTGTAGAAATTGAAGTAAAACACAAGTTTTAAAATCCATTGTTCATGTTACTTGGAGGTCAGTATTGTCATTTTGCTGACAGAATTTGTCAAGACTATTGATTTTCCACCATCTGTTAGACTTTCCATGGCAGAAAATGGTTTTTATGATGACTTATTGCTACCCCAAGTGTGGGTTCTGACCTATGCACATATGTGCAGGAACTGTGGTTAAGTTTTCAAAATCTGGGAATAAGCTCAAGCTGTTCAATTAAGAAGTAATGGGATTTAATTTGAGCTATCATAGCAAAAAGAATTAAAGGGTGAAAGGGGACATAAATTCTGTCCTCGTTTCCTTTGGTTTTCCAATTTCCACAACTAGAATTCTTGGTACGATAGATGTAATTTCTCAAGAATGATTGCTCTCTCTGAGAAAACATAATGTAACTGTGACTTAAGGCAGAGAAACAATTAAGAGCTCTATTGTAACTATTATGTTATGTAACTTTCAATGGACTTGAGAGATTGAATTATCACTCTTGAAGTTGTTTTTCCTCTACCCAGGTGGGACAAATTTGGCATTTCAGTTATTAAGTTGGTGCGCCTCTGAGGTGTAAACCCAAGACTTATCTTTCCCTAGTAATATATCTTTGAGGCTTAACAACTACGCATAATGATTGTTTAATCAGGCAACTAGAATGCTGATTTCAGTCTGGCATTCGTCGATTTGATTGCTTCAGCTATTACATGCTTATAGGTGTAGGTTTTCGGTTTTCCTTGGTTCTCATCCTTTAAGATCTCTTTTTCACACACAGACTTCAGTTGGGTTATGCTTGCTGTGAGCAATGGTCAACAATTAAGTTATTGCCTGTAAACCTGGGATCAATTCCTATCTGTTTGCTCTGGTTTAAAAGTCACTTAAACCAGGTTGCCACATTAATTTTTGCATTAGAGATGGAGTAAATGGTACTAATGAAAAGATTGTACAGAAATAGTTTCTTTTTGTCATGATTGTTGCTTATGATAAGAAGTCACTAAGGCTTCTGATGTTGATACAGTTAGTTTTTGTTTTATAGTTTTCTATTTAAACATCTTACTGGGCATTTGATATTAAGATTTAAGAGGCGGATGTTTTTTGTTTAGTTTTTATTGTTGATATGAGTGGTAGCTTGCTGTTATCATTTTTGTCAATTGGTTTAGGTATGGAGTTTTAAGAGATATATTTTCTCTTTGGTTTTTATTGTGATATGATTGCTTGTTATTTTATAATCATTTTTAGTTAGTTTTAGATAAATAGTTGAGCGAGGTTTGACATAAAGTCTTTATTTTTATTTTATTTCAATAGGAGGAAGGGGATGTGGGGTTTCACATCAAGTTTGATTCCTATCGATTAAATGTTGACATCGACTAAACTCGTTCAGATTATGATTCTTGCACACCTTGGTAACTTGGGGAATATGTCCTTTATATAGGTCTGTTTGAAAAGATGTCATAAAGGTTGCCAAATCAACTATTTAGTTTGCTTTATCATCATAATACAAGGAATGAGAAAGCTTGGACCTGTATATGAATGGATGCTGGGTAATACTTGCAATGATGTTGGTGTTGAGGCATGGGGCATTGATTTTTGAAATCAGTGGGGTAGATAGGAAGTTTGATATATGCTAAGTTTAGGGTGCTTCAAGATTACATTTGAAGTGCTAGAATATGTGAAACTGCTATTAGATTGATTGGTGTTATTGTAGTTTTATCCTGTTGAGCAATAGTAACAAATTTAAGCTCCAATCCAGTTTGATTTGATTATATATTATGTTTTTTTATTTTTTTTTCTGAGTACGGGTTTTTGTCAGTAAACAAAAATCATGATTTTTCATTTCCCTTTATTCATTATATCTGTAACCTTTTCCCTTAAATTCTCTGGCTTTGTTGGCGAGTATCTTTGTTTTGTGCTTTTGGTGGTCTTCATTTTAAAGGAAAGGAAATATTTTTCGTCAATAAATAAACAATAATTTTTGTTGTTGTTGATTCATTAGAATCAAATTCAGCTAGATGCTAAACATAAAATAAGCTGCAGAAATTAAATGAGTGGATCATAGGGCTTTAGGGTGCATTAGTCTATTCATCTTTGGTCAAGAGTTCAGTACCAATGTTGGAATTTTCCTGATCTCTAGTGTGACAATTTCATTCTGTCCAAGTTGTGAAAGAGTACTACAATTACTTAATACTGCTTCCAGATATAATATAACCTTCCTATACAACAACAATGAAGCCTTAGTCCCGAACTAGTTGGGGATATACTATAACCTTCCTATATGTATAAAAAATTTGTAGATAGAAAAAAAGAATAGGTAATGATAGTCTAATCCATCTTAACTGCCTAGTTTGATGGCTATGGCTCTTGCTACATTATGCTATGTTGTCATCTTGCAGTTTGGCTGAATTGGTTGCCTTTAATGATTTTGCATAAGATCATTGAATTTGATAGGTAGATATTCCATTCTTTCATTTTGGGGAATTGATGAATGCATTGAATACATATGTTACAGACATTGCTGTTCTAAACTTGAATGGGGCTGATGTATCTGGTCCCCTATTAAATGGTTGTTAACCCTATGTAATGATAAGGAAAATGTTTTCCAAGATGTGCTGGGCACTGCTCCCCTTGGCCTCTCTCTTCTAATACCAGAGAGCTTCCGTTTGTCATGTAAAATGGTGTGCTTTCATGTCTGTTGGCTAGTGTTCATTCGCCATTCCTTGCATTATCCTTGTGAAGCATTTTGGATGGTGGCTTTCTAAAATCATCTATATACTTAAATAAGCTGATCCTTTAATTTTTTATTAGTTCAAAAGAAATATGAGGTGGTAGTATAATGTTAACCGATTTTAGATTGATTTTTTCCCCTTATTTTTATCAATGGTTGGAGAAGCTTCTTGAATGGTTTTGAGGCAGTTATGAATTTAAATGAAAGTAATTTTTTTTTTTCTCTAAATCAAGGATTTATATGTTCCGAAATTATAATAATTGTATTTCACTTTTTCTTCATCACTTCCTCACTTTTTTTTTGAGTAGGATGTGTCATATTTTTTTGTTAACTACGTTTTTGGAGTTTTTCACTGTGTGTGGGAATTGGAAGGGAACAATGGGGACCTATGTTTTTGAAGTGATTTGGCTTGCATAGTTGGAAGTGAATGGTGGGATTTTGCATGCTCTTCTCTTAGCACAGCATGCATGGGGCATGATTGCAATTTGCTTTTCATACACTTTGAGGGGTTTCATATATATATATATATATTTTTTTTTTGTTTTATTCTTTCTTGCTTAGGGGGAAATATTTTCTTCTTCTTGTGCTTATATTGACCTTTGTTCTTTCTGTATTTCTGACACAGACACACGTGGACATACACATGAATATCTAATTCTTGCCAGGACACCTGCTTCAGCAAGCATGTCCTCATTTATATGTGTGTGTGTAAATCAAAGATGAAGTTTTGAAGTGCTAGATAGAGTATTGTTTAGTTGAATACTAATCTTCAGACTCGAGTATTTTTTTGTCATTTCTTAAATTAAGATAAATATTAGTTTGTTCTATTATTGCATGTCATGCTTGTGCGTGATAGATGTTTTCATAGTTTAATACTGCTCTGAATCACTGTTTTATTGTGAAGTTTTATTTTGGCGTGGGTCTGTGCGTGGAAGTTGCTGTGAAGTTACTAATGAAGAAATCAGTTGAATTTTTTTTTTTTCCCTGTAAAGATCCCCTCTTGAAAATTGATTATAAAAATGAAAGCAAACCCCATTTATTTCTTCATAACGAATTGTGTTCTGTAATTCTGCATTTGTTTCCTCGAGGAAGAAAATAGATGATAAAAATGAAAGCAAACCCTGTATATCTAAAATCTTATTGATAAATTTTATGCTTGTAATAATTATGGATTTGATTCTGAAGTCTCACATTTTTCTCTTTTGCACTGTTTTGCAGTACTTCTGGGTGCCCTTTTGGTGAGGGATGTCACTTCTTGCATTATGTTCCTGGTGGCTTCAAAGCTGTGTCTCAGATGCTTAATATTGGTAGCAACCAAGCTCTTCCACCAGCAAATAGAAATTCTGGTGTCCCACCATCCTTTCCAGATGGCTCATCTCCCCCAGCTGTGAAGACCCGTTTGTGTAATAAATACAACACAGCTGAAGGTTGCAAGTTTGGGGATAAATGTCATTTTGCGCATGGTGAGTGGGAGCTTGGGAAGCCGACTGGTCCGTCCTATGAAGATCCTCGTTCTATGGGCCCAATTCCAGGTAGGATGGGCCGCCAAATGGAGCCTCCTCACCAAGGCCTTGGTGCTGGTGCTAGCTTTGGGGCCAATGCCACAGCTAAGATCAGCATTGATGCTTCGCTAGCTGGAGCTATTATTGGGAAAAATGGTGTCAACTCAAAGCAAATCTGTCGGCTGACCGGGGCAAAACTTTCCATAAGAGAGCATGAGACAGACCCGAACTTGAGGAACATTGAGTTTGAGGGTACTTTTGATCAAATCAATCAAGCAAGTTCTATGGTTCGTGAGCTTATTGGGAATGTTAGCCAAGCCTCAGCACCTCCAATGAAGAACCCGGCTATGCATTCTTCTGCTTCGCAAAACTTCAAAACCAAGCTTTGTGAGAACTTCACGAAAGGATCTTGCACTTTTGGGGATAGGTGTCACTTTGCACATGGTGAAAATGATTTGCGGAAGCCAGGGATGTGAAGGAAGCTGTTTCTCTACCTTCTAATTGCTTTTGGTTCTGTTCTTTTAGGACATTCTCGTTGTAGCCTGGGATATTTGGTGTGTTAACCAAATATTTTTGTACGCAAAGGATAGACAGACAGTCGCCATTGATGAGAGCTTTGTTGTAGGTTTTGCTGTTCAGTAAATTTTTAATGATTTTACTGTATTTTGTTTCTCTCTGAAATTCGTGGTAGGAACTTTCCAGCGTCAATGCATTACTCAGAGAATTCAGAGTTTTAGGATCATTTTCAATTCTTCCGATTAAATTCATATTTATGACCTATTGTCTGAATGAGAATACATGTTGATCGGGTGACTTTTATTTGAGTAGCAGTTCGATGGATTTACGTGGAAGGGTTTATTTTTGGAATTTATTTACAAATTTAAAATTTTTGTATATTACTTTTCATATTAAGTGGCATTTTGTCTAGCTGATATGTGCAACTAATTTGCACTCATGACTCATCTATATTAGAGGTGTTGTATAAGGGATCCTAATCAACTATTCATAGTTGAATTGAAGTCTCACTTAATTACTGATTCTTTTTTTTTTTTTATCAGCTGCTAGCTAATTTATATTTATGTTAAATTTGAACTATATCAACATCATAAGACTGTACAATATTAAATATATTAATTAAATGAAATATATTATTATATATTTAATGCAAATAAAAATATATTTATCCTAGTAATATTTGTATATATATATATATATATATATATTATTATATATATTTAATGCAAATAAAAAATATATTTATCCTAGTTAATGATTGATATATATATATATATACTATATAATATATCATTACATGTTAGTTGTGAAGTAACAATTAGTTTTACCACATAAAATACGCGTTTTTAATGATTACCATTAATACCCAATAAGTACACGAAATAATTACTTATAATTAAAATTCGTTAGAATTGCTATTAACTATTAATTTTACTTTTATATTTGATTCAACAAATTATAATATAATATATTATATTTATAATATATATATATATATATATATATATAATATATAATATATATATATATAGTATATATATATTCCAATAAAAAAAAAATATATATATTCCAATAAAAAAATAATCAATAAAATTTAACTTATTTCCTAAAGAAAACTTATTATAAAATTTTTAAAACAGAAATTATAAACTATTGAAATTTTTTGACAATTTGTTAAGTAAATGGTATAATTTGCTTTAAATAAATATGATTACATAAAAATCAAATGAAGACATATTGAAAATGGTGTACTAATTTTTAAACTAAATCAAATCATTTTAAAAAATAAAGCGTATAAAATTGATAGTTTAGTGAAGTTAATGGTTTGAATAATTTCATATAAATCCCTAATTTTAAATTCAAAAGGATAATCCTCCCTTTTGCTCATCAAATCAAAAAAATGAAAACTTTTGCGATTAGAAAGAACCGATTAATAAATACTATTATTCTGAAAAATCGGACTAGACAAGCCGGTTTGACCAGTGAACCTTTACTTTCACCGGTTCACTGTCTGGTCCGCTTTTCAGAACATTAATAAATACATGTTTTTCATTTTTAGATGTATTTGTTAATTTAAAAATTCAAAATAATTATATATTTTATTATTTGAATTAAAAATTATATTACTATTTATTTAGTAAATAAAATGATGTGTGACTTTAAGTGTAATTGATTGAAGGAAACTTAAATTATATTTCTCTTTATTAATTAACAATAAATTTAATATTTTTGGAGGAAACTTAAATTTAACTTAATTTTTAATTTAAATATGCAATTTTTCCTATATAAAATTTTTATGATATATCTATATATATATGTGTGTGTCTCTGTGTGTGTGTGTTTTAAATATATTTATTTAAAATCATATAAATTAATTAAAATCATATAAATTAATTACTATTCTAGTAGTGTTTTAATTATATTTAAAATCATATAAATTAATTACTATTCTAATAGTGTTTTAATTATAGTTTTTCGGTCATATAGTTTGTATTCTTATCGCAGTTAATTTTATAATTACAATTATTTCAATTGTAATTAATATTTTAATAGCATTATAATTTATAATTACAATATTTTTAATTACATGTGAACTTATTACTATATCTAGTATTATTATAACAAATAATTTTAGTAACATTATTATTATTATCTTTCTAATAGTTAGTAATAATAGTATATTATTAATAATAATATAGTTACTAATAACTATAATTAATAACTAACCCTTAACAATCAAAACTACGTAGTTTTTGTACTTGAGCTTAAGTTAACCAACATTAAAACTACGTTACCTTAGTGTATGGTTTTAATTTTAATATAAAGTTTTAATATTTGATTATTTAACAAAAAGTAATTATTAACACTATCATTTATTAATCATGATTTATTATTGTATTGTAATTGTATACTATTATTACAAAGGAAAAATAATTATTTCGTACCTGATGTTTGCCATAATTATTTAAGTAGTCCCGACATTTATACAAATATTTATAACATCCCTGAGGTTTACTTCCGTCTTATTAATTGGTCATTCCGTCCAAAAAACACACTTTTTCCGTTAATTTATTGAGAGAAAAAAAAGAGAATATTCGAAGAAATATTATTTATTAAGTCATTATTTTCAGTTTCGTTGAGCTTGCCAGTTAATATCTTAAGTGTCTCGACATATTACAATATTGATATAACATCCCTGAGGTTCACTTCCCGCATATTATTTGATCATCCTCCAAAAACACACACTTTTTCTACTGTTAATTTTTAATTAAATACCAAAACATCCTAAATCCTCTACATACATGATCCTCCTCAACTCATTTCTTTCCTCTACATCGTCACCAAAAAAATGGAAGAATAAACAAATTCCGAGGTGGCGGCGAAGAGCTAAAGAAGATAGAACTGTTGTGGTGTTGGTGAACTGATAAAACATCTAACTTGAGCATCAAACATGTTCTTACTTCAACTTTCGTATTTGAATCCAATGTATTAAACTAGACATTGCTCATAACCTTCAACAATTAATCCTAGAAATAGCAACTCATACTGGCCAAAATCGCCAAAACGAGCTCAAAGTAGAATGAACAACATCTACTTGAGCATCAAACATGTTCATGTACTTAATCTTTGTATTTGCATCCAATGTATTACTTTGCTCAATAACCTCAACAATTAATCCCAGAAATAGCAACCATATGCAAAATCTGCCAAAAAGAAGACCAACATAGCAAAGCAAAAATTTACAAAGCACATTTAGCTAACTCTTGTTCACTTGAAACTCGACACCACCATTAACAAATGCCCATGTAAATTTTAAATCATAAATTGTAAACTAAATTTAAACTAATCACCCAGTTTGATTTAAACCCAAAATTGAACAAGCAGATTAGAAATTTACCCAAAATTTAGATTAAAATTTCTAAATTTTGCGTAAATTTAGAGGATTTAGGGCAGTCAAAAGGGAGGATATGTTAATTAGAGGATTTAGGGTAGTTTGGTCATTCTATTAAAAATTAACAGAAAAATATGTGTTTTTTGGACGGAAGGATCAATTAATATGACGGAAGTGAACCTCAGGGATATTATAAATATTTATATAAATTTCAGGGACTACTTAAATAATTATGGCAAACCTCAGGGACGAAATAATAAAAACCTATAAAGGATAATTTCATCTTTTCCTCTCAAAAATTAACGGAAAAAGTGTGTTTTTTGGACTGAAGGACCAATTAATAAGACGGAAGTAAACCTCAGGGATGTTATAAATATTTATATAAATGTCGGAGACTACTTAAATAATCATGGCAAACCTTAGGGACGAAATAATTATTTTCCCTATTATAAATTACCTTATAAATGATTCTTTGCAATCACAATATATTTTAATTTTAGTTTAATATCAAAATTCTTTGAATTTAAAGAATATTATATTGATATAGAGAATAGTGTATTAATTTTTAGTGAGGAACTGGAACTAGCACTAAAGAACCAAAGAACCGAACCGAAATTGAATCGAATGTGGCCTCAATTAGAGTAAAAACCTTTCTCCGTTAGTCAAGTCTCATATGTGGCTGATACACATGCACATCACACTGACTATATTGAAAAAGTTGCTTAAAGCTTTCGAAAGCATTGAGGAAGCCGATCATTGAATTGCAAGATTCGAGTACTTACGGCAACATAGAAATGGAGTCGCAAATGAAGTTCCGATCATGACTTCTACAACAAGAGAAAAAATGTTACAACTGGCAAGACTGAAGGCATTGCTATCTAGCTCCGAATCCATAGGGTTTCAATAGAAACTTAGTCCAATTACCAGGGTTTTATTCTAATTCCGCATATCTATTCAGTCTAGTTTTGGCTCCTGAGTCATTTGATTATGATTTTGCATCCAAATTTGAGAAGAACCGAAATATAATTCTGGTTCCAATTCTTATCAAGAACTGACTAAGAAGCGAAACCACACAACCTAATTTTTAGTTATGCGTATTGATAGTCTCAAGAATATATATTGATAATTGTTTAGAATGTTCAGTGTTAAGGAGGAGAGAATGCTAGATGAATATTTAGAGCTTTTATGTGAAATTTTTTGATGTCTCTAAGTTATCTAGCTCCTATATTTATATTGGTAATTTAGGAGGTTCAGGGAGATTAAATAGTGGAGAAATATCGTCCACTATTTTGGTAGTTAGAGAGATTAGGGGGGATATGGTGGTTGTTTGGGATATTTTGTTCTTTATGATATTATCAATAGTCCCCCTAAAAGTCTTTGATCTTTTATGTCTAAATATGTATTATTATTATTTAAAAGTTTAAGCCTTTTGTAGACAATATTTTTGTCATGCATTAGCCCGCCTCCAAGCCCAATATACTAACAAATGGTCCTATCGATGGAGGCCATCATTTGAGTTCTCAAGGGAGGTCCCAAGAGTCATCATTTATTATGGAGACCTTTCGGGTGCTCCTTTTTCTCCTGTATATACCTCCTTTCTTCTATCTTCTTTTACTCATTTTTAACTTTTCCAAATTGTCAAAGCTTCTCTCTCTAGAAATCTCAACTTCTATCTCTAATAAGTGTTATATCTTTGAGTATTTTTTAGTCCTTTTGTTTTTTGTTGGGTGTTTTCGTTAATGGTCATCGAGATCATGGGTTCATCTATTGATAAGGATGTCCGAGCTGTCATGGAGTATTCTGAGGTATCTTCCTCTAAGCATAACATGAGAATACCGAGCCTACTGAGCTTATCACTCCAGAGGATAAGTCTAGAAAGTAGAATGTTAGGATATCTGATATACCCATTGATACTAACGAGGG